CAGGCTTGATGAGCTTGCGGTTTGGGCTCATATAATCAATACGTCGGTTGACCTTTTGATGTTGTGCCTGTGTACCCAAGACACACAGCATCGAAGCTCAGCTCAGCTAAGCCAAATTCCCCCGTCCACTGCAAGAATCATGGCAACTCAAAGAGTTTAGGGCTACGCCAATGCCTCGCCACTCAAGTGAGAATATCCTACGAAACGGCTTGCACCTTGTCCTTCTGTCGGTTGTCTTGACCCAGCTTGATATGCATTCCATCGATGCAGCTGTTACGCTTCTTTTCAACGCAACACAGACTCAATTCACTAAAAGGTGTGGTTGGCCGCTTCTGACATCTCAGACGCCTACTGCCAACATAAGCATGCCTTTGTTTTGCAAGGCCTCTCTGGTGGAAGGCAAAACCGGTATCTGGTTCCTGAAACAAGAAAGGCAAACACCGAACCTTCAGCTCCGAGGCCGGCAAACCACTCTGAAGTTTGCAACAACGCAAAATGAAAAACTTAAGGTTTGATCCAGGGAGGAGTGAAGCCTCCACAATTTGAGCTCTTGCCAAAGGGGCAAAGAAGACAACACCTCACTCATAGCGCAACTGGATCTTCTGGCGAGTATCTAGCTTTATTGTCCAAGTGTCTGTTCGTAAATGTTTTTTTTTTTTACTGTCGATCACCTTACCCTCAGCAAGTCCTAGCTTGCGGTGCACACAGAAACGCAGAAACCTGTTCAGTTCTGTTTCACAGAGTCTACCGTCTACCCTGTGAACCCATTTTGGTGCAGACCGGTTGGGTCCAAACGGGAAGACCCAACCAAGGAGCTCCGAAAGATGTTCCGAGCAACGCCAAGTGCCGGGCGCGACGCTGCCGGAGCTGTTCGACATCACCTGGCGCCGAACGCGGCCGACAAAAGGAATAACGCAGACACGTCAAGACATACAGCAACAACATTAAACAACATGAACGAGTCAACACACACACACACACATGCACCGGTATGTCGCATAGAGATACACAAGGCAAAGCGTGTTGTGGAATGAAGCCTGAGCGACCAAGGGTTACTCTGCAGTAGAGGCACGCGTTTTTCTTTCCGTGCTCTTTTGTCGCGCTGCTCTCCATTGTTTGATGTCTGCGAGCAGCGGGCACCCCCATGCCACCACCCCCACACATCTCCAGTTTTGGTCTACTTCCGTCTGGGTGTTTTGTTTGTTCATGTTCTCTGGCCTCAAAGGATAGCCCAGGAACCCAGTTCCCTTTCAACGCCATCCAAAAACAGTACCCTCAAAACCTCAAAAAAATGACAGACAATGACAGACCAATATACAGAAGACGACCAATCTCTGGCCCCTTGACTCGAGGCTTCAAGAAAGGCTTCGAGTCTCTCTCTCTCTCAATCGCCGCCGGCGAGACACAGCTGCGCTTCACCCTTGGCGAAGGGGAATACCCCTCATCACACCTTGGCCACACGTCGAATTGAATGCAGATGACAAAAGGGCAAAGCAAGGGAACAAGTCCGTATAGTTTTGGGAAATAGCTCTTCTGCGATAGCAACATGGGCATCTGACTATAGGGGACACCCTGTCACAAACAGACATATTTGAACCATTGAATCACCTACTCTTTAAGCTGCCTTTTGGATTCCCTAAGGGGGCTGAGTCTGGTCTGGTTGTTGATCACTTAGTATCACAGACATGGACATTTCCTACAACCCTGTGTCTCATGAACATGTCGGAACTGGGGCAGCAACTTGGGCCTACTTGATCTGCCCAAATGGACCCAGCCGAAGCAGATCTCTCAGGCATTGTGGGGAGTGTTCATTGAAAGGGAAAGCAAAAGGAACAAGCATTTCGGCGGTCTCCCCATTTTATCACTTATTTCGAGACAATGCGATTTGTTGTTTGATATTTGTTTTGTATATTTGCTTCATGCGGCGCTGCCTTCAATATGAGCAAACACGTTCCAAGCAGTCGGCATCCGCTTGCTCATCTAACCCCACAACAAGCGCAGCTGCTGTGGAGAAGCCCTTGCTTACTCATGGGGAGTTGTCTGCAATTTGTGAACCCCCCAAAATGGATGAAGTCCTGTTTGTTTCCCTATAAACAAAAAAAGCACCCCTCAAGAAACACGCACGTCTTGCCTAACCTTCCAAATGGGCTGAGCCTTGACTCAAGCCGCAACTAGGAACCACTCTTCGCTTCTTTAAACCTACCTAGTGAATGTCGTTGCCACTTAGCAGGTGGCTGGCAAAACGACTTCGACGGCAGTCGAACTATATAAGTATACAGCGGTTGGTGGACCTTTACGGAATGTCAGGACGGTAAGCTAAGTATCGAAGCGGGTGCCCTTGGCTGCCGACCCATAGTTGTCCTCTGCTGGTCCACCTTCGACTCCAGTCCTGGAATGGCTCCAAGCGAAAGGGGGGAAAGCTTGCCTAGAAAAGTGCCTCCTGATATATATATATATATATATGTAACATGTATAACAATATTAATATTATTTGCTGTATATTATATGCTTTATACAAACTTGTCCAGACCCGCAACCTCATAATAGGTTAAAACAAACAACACAACTATGCTACACCAATCGATTCCTGCCTTCCCCAGCCTGATGCCCAAGTTGATAAAGTGCGTGCTGCACTGGGCTGAAGCATCAGCACCACAAACCGTCATAATATAAGCCTCTGCAGCCCATCGAAAACTCCAACTACCTGCCACTACGAAACACCATAAGCCACCGTAAGACGTCGTACATCACCACAAACCCTCGTGAAACCGCCTTAAGCCTCCATACACCGTAAACACCTATGAAACATCATAAGCCGCAATTCACCACACACTGACATCGAATTGGGGTTTACACATATGTTTGTGGAGCCAAGAGGGCACATCGCCCAAGCCTCACTTCCCCCGCGTGACCCCAACGGTCCTGTTGTACCCGGGCTCCATGGGCACCGGGTCCGGGCAGAAGCTGGGAGTCACGCAGACTGGGAACTCAAAGCGCCTCGGGTCACCCGAAAAAAACCCCAAAACTCGGACGGTCGCTCTCCTGAGTGGGTTTGGATCGGGTGGTTTCCCATCAACCTGGAAGGGGGTCAAATCCCACCAATCCAAACCACCAAGTAAGGATCACCAAAAGCCAGGGCTCACCAACGCGAGAAAAAAACTATAAACAAAACCCGTGGTACCGGAATCCGTTCTCCAAAATCGACTCAAGGTGTAGATGCACCACTGCAAAATCCATGGCACAAAGAAAACAAACCCTGTTTGCGGATTGGTCCTTTGATTCTGTACCAACCCCAGGTTCTGCTTTTTGAAACATGATTTCCCGGTAGTGGTTGCTAAGCATAAAGCCCCCTAACGGTCACTAAAACGAGGGAAATCACTACCATCTGGCACCATGAAAAAGGATTGATGTTAAACCGTTAAACAACCCCGGTCCGAACCATGGTCAGTTGGAAATTGGTTGATAGGGGTGGCAGACCACGTGGCTCAGGATGAACCATCCATGGCTTCTGCAAAACGTCCAACTTGGGGAAGTCACAGAACAGGGTTCGCTAAACAAAATCTCCCTGTTTCGTCAGGAAATGAACCTAAGGGAATCAAAAGAGCAAGAAACCCCAAACGCGCGCCGAAGGCTGCGCCCTGAACAAAAAGAGGTGGATTGACCGTGGTTAATCCCTCAGCGGTTCAGGGGGTTGTCTCTAAACTCTAGTTCCGCACTCAGCGCCCTTTTTCAGTGAGCGCTTGAGCCAAACGGCGTTTGCCGTTTGACAAGTCTGTCATGTCATGCAACCCTCAACCTAAACCAAAGTGGCCTCATGCAAACCTCACGCCAGTGAACACACAACTAGGCAAGTTACCATGCCTTTGGGGGCAAAGGGGTCGTTATTTCTTGACTCCCCCTTCGCCGTGTGCACTAAGGCAGGGTAAGCTTTTGCTTTGGAGCGCGATATCTCTGCTTCTGTAGTGGAACGCGACACAGAAGTCTGGCGCTTGCTAATCCATGCTAAGGGGAAGTGGGAATTCGGACCTTTCAGGGCGAGAAACCCCCCTGACGTGGACTTGGCCCCCTCCTCTCCTGCAAAGTCAGCGTCGACGTAGAGCGCAAGATGCAGCTCTCTGGGATCGTCTTGAACTGTGCCAACCAACCTGTGCGTTGTGGTCGTGTTAATGCTGCCTATCATTATTACGCGACCATTTTTGAACGCACGGTGCAAGATCCCCGATGGGCTTGATTATGTCTGGACGTGCAAGACGTCCCAACCACAAGGCTTTCATCAAGATTTTACAAGCGGCTGAGCTGAGTTCACCTGCTTCGGCATCATCTTGTGTTGGCAATGACCCTTCTGGACAGAATGGGGTCAATGCCTTGCGGAGCTTACTAATCGGCTGACCTGAAATGGAGACATATAGATCAACAGTTTGCTTGGCGTAGTCAACCATATCAAAAGCCATTGCGTTGGACAGCGCGCCAAAGGCTGCGCTCTCGGCTGGATTAGGCTCGCACTTCGGGGCGTTAATGATGACATGATTCCTTCCCAAAACACGATATATCGGTTCTGGGGGTTCAATATCAACACATGACATCAGCTTTTCCCAAAAGGGATCATGCTGCTCTGCCGGCCCTGAAAGTGTTAGATCATCCACATAAGTGGATAGCATTAAGCCGGTTGAGGGGAAGTAAAAGTTTCCTGGAAATTCTTGGATCTCCTCTCCGGTCTGCTCCTTCAAGATCTTCTTGAAGTGCTGCTCCCATAGCCCCCCCGCGTCGGGGTGACCGTAGAGTGCTTTTACTAGAAGGACTACCGGTTTTATAAACTTTTCTTTCCACCACTTCGGACGAAGTTCCGGCGGCAATGATATCCACGTCTGATGTTGAGATCGAAGTAGGGCCTGGATATATGCCTTTACGGCGTCTGCCGCCGTGGTTTTGTGACCTGGCAGTGAGCCGTAGGCAAGGCAGTTGTTCAAACCCTGAACGGACGTAGGGTTGGCGCCGAGTTCTTGATAAACGGCCGCCGCCCCATATTCGTCCCGCGCACAGTCCCCTCGGTATACTATACGCCCCTTCACTTTCTGTAGATGCTTTGCTAGCTCAAAGAATTTGATGGAGGCGATAGTCATTAGTTGCCCGAAGTGGACTTTAGTGTGCGTCCGTCGCGCTTCAGCAGCGACCTCTCCTTGCTCTCTCACGGTGCTGAGATCCCAGACTCCCGCATTACCTAAGCCGTCTGCTTCTTCCTTTATGGCCTGCAATGCCTCGGACGAGGCAAGCATTTCTGAACGTGAAAGAAGTTTTGTGACCATGGCGGCTATGTCGGGAGAAGTCTCCTGCTTTGGAATTCCCTGAATTTCCCTAACGAGATTATCCAAGTCAAAGAGTTCTTCAAAGAATCTGCGGGATGTTGGATCTGATTCAACCACTGACGCGAGAGCCCCAACACCCGAAAGTGCGGAGGTATGCTTCAAGGACTGCTCCTTTTCCCGATGCTCCTCTTGCACGATGACAGCCTGGACTGGCATTGCAGGCGCGCCTGGTGTTGCGACATGCGGATATAACGCACTAGCGATTATCTTACACATTTCTTGTGGATAAAAGGCGGTGCGTGCAGTGTTGCTACCTGCGGCCTGTGCATGCTTGAAGGAGTGTTGGTGGGGGCATGTCCTATTCTGGAACCCATCATGAAGTTCCTTGGATGTGGTCATGAGACGCCACGGCTTCTTGATGGGAGTCCCTTCCTTGTCAGTTAGACCTACTGCACACCCGTGGAAAGTCACTGAGTGGAAGCGAGACGCATGCTTCTCGAAGAATGCCTTTACGTCGGGGCGCTCCCATCCCTCGCAGTCGCGAGGCCACTCGAAAGTGACGTGACCCTCTTGTTCTATCACTACTTCGGCGTGCTTTGTGAACCTTGCGAACAACGCCTCCGATCTTTTAACCTGTGCACGGAGATACTGCTTGTATTTGTTGCCATACTTATGGACATTTAGCCTTTGCCATGGCGACCCGGAGGTGCACGGAATGGCTGCCCACATGTTAGGCTTGCTACAAGACTGCAACTGAGCGGTCAGTTGCTCATCCCCTTCATTGGTTTCAAGATCGATGTGTTCTAGCTAGTCTCACGTGGGGAATGCCCAATGCTTGATGCACTGCTCCCATGGTGGAGTCACTTGGCTATGATTTTTTTAGGGGTCTGTAACGCGCGACGCGGCACGAATCTTGTTACGGAGGTCTGTAACGGAGGTCCTTGTTACGCAGGTCTGTAACGGGAAAAAATCCTGACAAGCAGAATCAGGAGCGCATCAATGCAAGCCAAGCTGCGGCAAAAAGCAGGGTCGCTCGCTCGCCAGGGCTGGCGTTGCGTCTGTAACGAGGTGTGTGACGGCTATGTAACCAGGTCTGTAACGAGGCAAAGCAAAGCGCAGTACGCAAAGGCGCCTCCGCAGCACCAGCTATTCAACGCAGGCCAAGCTGCGGCAAAAAGGGGGGGCGCTGGCCCGGGCTGGGGTTGGGTCTGTAACGAGGTATGTAACGGCTGTGTAACGAGGTCTGTAACGAGGCAAAGCAAAGCGCAGTATGCAAAGCGCGCCTCCGCAGCACCAGCTATTCAACGCAGGCCAAGCTGCGGCAAAAAGGGGGGGCGCTGGCCCGGGCTGGGGTTGGGTCTGTAACGAGGTATGTAACGGCTGTGTAACGAGGTCTGTAACGAGGCAAAGCCAAGCGCAGTACGCAAAGCGCGCCTCCGAAGCATTGTGTCGTTAGCATTTTCTTTGTATCAGGAGGGACTCCCGACACTTAGTCTGTGGGATCGACTATTGGGTCGCCCAATGACCCTCAGGATCCATGAAGACAATCAAGCTACTATTCTGGTTGCAAGGAAAGGGCACTCTTCGAAGTTGCGATCAATTTCTAGGACACATAGGGTTAACCTAGCATCCCTTGCAGAACAGCTACAGGAAGGCACTGGAGTAGAGCTTGAATATGTGAAGACCGATTTCCAAGCTGCCGATATCTTTACCAAGGCTTTGCCTCCACATAAGTGGGATCACGCCTTGAGGCTCCTGGGAATGCGCACAGACCTCCCAGAAGAGCTAGAAGATACTCGATTCAACATCAAAAAGTAGAAAGTCATTCCGAAAGCAGTGCTATGAGTACTAAAAGTGCCAAAAATATCCTTCATCCTTTTAAAGCCTTGATGACCAGCTATTCAACGCAAGCCAAGCTGCGGCAAAAAGGGGGGGCGCTGGCCCGGGCTGGGGTTGGGTCTGTAACAAGGTATGTAACGACTATGTAACGAGGTCTGTAACAAGGCAAAGCAAAGCGCAGCAAGCAAAGCACGCCTCCGCAGCTCTATTCAACGCAAGCAAAGCTGCAGCAAAAAGCAGGGTCGCTGGCCCGGGCTGGGGTTGGGTCTGTAACGAGGTATGTAACGGCTATGTAACGAGGTCTGTAACGAGGCAAAGCAAAGCACAGTACGCAAAGCGCCTCCGCAGCTCCAGCTTGATTGCAGCTATTCAACACAAGCCAGGCTGCGGCAAAAAGAGGGCAGTCATGTCACTGGCCCGGTTTGTTCATCTGAGGTGTGGAACGAGGGTGTGTAACGAGGGTGTGCCACGAGGGGTGTGTAACGAGGGGTGTGTAACGAGCCAGCTGGTCTTGTTACAGAGGTCTGTAACGAGGTCTGTAACGAATGTCCGCCGCGGCTCTGTTACAGACCCCTCAAAAAAATTCACTGCCACTTGAACATGCATACTCGAACATTACAGGCGTAGAATTGGGGCCCTCTTATTCCCTACGGAAAACTTTTTGCATGGCTCCTTTTGGAACATGGCATGCCGAACACAGGCAGAGTCCGAGCCTCCCTCTTGGTGAAGGAGTCGGCTACGTGGCACGTGAGTGACGTGGAGGTTGCAATGGTTGTTGTCACCGCCGCGCCAGTTGTGGCTGCAGGCGGCGCGGTTGGAGGAATCCCCCCTGGCCGAGACGGAGCTGGCTTGCCG